TCCCAAGAGAGCAACTTTGTCGCCTCAGAAATGAAAAGACGCCAACTTCCCTCCTGCTGTTTCCTTGGTCAACTCAGAATCAACCGATAGTATTGGAATCTCCTGAAACCCGGAATAGGGATGGCCCAGTCGGCTTCTGAAACTGAGGCCGGGGAATGGCAGGAATGGGGGGCAGAGAGGATCGGGAAGAAGAGTCCTTCCCCCACAGACGTTCCCAGCTGGGAGACGAGCTTGCTCGCAGCGCGTTTATGGAGGGAGGGGGCATCGGGAACCGCGCTGGCGGCGAGCAGACTCCAGGGTCGAGATTATTCGACACGTGTCTTTTATTCCTCACAATCCATTTCTTACGGGTGATTTATGAACGAATCTCTTTGATCAGGGACGGTTTTATCTGTCCAGTGCTACAGATGACAGATGCGGCTGCTAAAATGCCTGGTCCCCGCTGCCTAAAAGGTTGCTCCCCCCTCCCAAATGCTGTTGCTTTTTCTCTGGCGGTCCCCACCCCCTGCTTCTTCGTTCTCCTCCCCTACCCCCAACCCCGTTTGCTGTCTTAGTTGCAATCCCTCTGGGTGGTTAAGTCAACAAAAAAGCGCAGAGCAGGGTCAGTAGGAAGCCAAGGCAGGCATACTTTGGGCACGACATCCTCCTGGTGCCACATTTGTTAGGGTCTTAAGAAGGCCCCCAGCCGGAGACCAGAAGAGCTTGCTCTTTAGGTGGGGGTTGCCTGCCTTCGGAAAGGAGAAGACGAGGTCCTCACAGCCAAGTCCCATGCGTCTGGCTCTGCCCAGAAAAGGCGGGTGCTGGGGTAGGGAGCCAGTGCACCGGGGGAAAGCCTCAGCCTGCGGTTCTGTGCGGGCCGCGGGCCGGGGCTCATCAGAACAAGCACTTTGGCTTAATTGGGGAGGGAAGGAGGCAGCTGGAAAGGGGGAGAGGGGAGAGGATCATGTTACAGAGCCTCCTAGTCCCTAATAGGTAAAGGAAACGCGGAGTCTCTGAAGAGGTTATTAATAGTAGGGGTGTGTGTGTGTGTGTGTGTGTGTGTGTGTGTGTGTGTGTATGTGTGTGTGTTAGTAGTATTTCATTAAAACCATATCCTGGAACAAAGAGTTGTTCTTTCATGTTTCTTTGCTTTGTTATTACTCTGACAGGAGTTCTAAAAACAGGATTTTTCCCAATCAAAGGATCCCTGGATTTATCTGCCCTCTCCTAGCCTCCTTTCCCTCCACCAAACTGCTCTTGGTATCATTATCCCGGTATGGATTCTATCTTATACTCTTGATTTAGCCAGAGGACATTTAATAGCTGACTGGATTAAATATTGCAGACTCCAGCCTGAGCTATTTGAAAATCCGGGTCGTGGACTGTGCCTAACATCAGAGAAGGAAAACTGATCTATGAGATGTGTTTTAAGTTTCACGTAGTCCGGCGGGGAGAGAAGGAAGAGGAAAAAGGAGTCTCTAGGTTACAAAGTTAGAAGTTTTAAAAGGTGTGTGTTGGTGAAGGGTAGGGAGAGAAGTCAGGGGTAGAATGAGGCAAAAGGCAACCGTAGCAAGAAGTTAACAGAAATTTCATCTATCATAATGTGCAAACGAGATTTATGAGAACATTTTTAAAAATACTGCTCTGGATGTCAGGATTCTTCCCCAGGAAAGGAGTGCTGACCCCATTAGTGCTGACTCCGTTAGGGGTGCATCCACAGACCTCTCTGAAGGACTTGTCATGAAATTTGCAGTAGGAAGATGGTTTCTGCTTCAAGTTTACTTTCAACAGCAGTAACAATTCTTTGATTGGTGTTAAGTTTCAGGAACAAAAGAAGAAGAGAAATGTGGGCTGTATTTGTCCAGTACTATGTTTAGAAAATGGAGGCATAGCAGTCCCAAAGGAGAGCTTCGCACAGCCAAATCTGGGTGTTGGGGTTTGACCCAATATTTCTACAAGCCAGGAAAACCTAGAGAGGCAGGATCTGATGCTCCTTAGTGACCAGGACGTCTGTGAGCTATAACCAAATAATATGATATGCACCCAAAGGTAACAATAAATCAAGGCTAGGAATGACTGGATGGGTATTGAGATTAAATGCTATAGAGAGAAAGAGCCTGTCTGTCTGGTCTTGGGAATTTTAAAAATTGTCAACCCTTAAAGCTAATATGATCATTGACTATATATCATTTCTGATTATGCCTGTAGGAAGCCCAAAAAGGAGTAAGATAAACCCTGACAGTAAAATTGGATTTAATATTGTGGAAGAAAATACCCTGACTTTTAAATTTTGTTTAAAGTAGAGAGCTATATGGGTGGCTATATAATAATAAGCCAGATGTAATGTCAATTTAATAGAGATTTAGGGATAGTGTTGCATTTAAAAGAAGAGCCACAGCACAGTTCATTGAATATATCGTCTTAATATATGGGCAACAAATATTTAAAACCTTATTGTATGCCAAGACCCTGGCCTGAGCTACATGTTAGATTCACAGTAACCTCTATGAACATTCCTATTCAACATGGAGAAAGGAATTGGACTCTCTTCCACATCTGGCAAACTGCTAATTCGTTTTAATTTTGTTTACAAGCTGAGCTTTCTTCTTGCATGAAAAAAAAAACAAAAACCGCTTCCTCTGTTTACAAGTCATTTTTAAAAATCCTTTTCAATCAAACTGATCACGTATCTTGGTAAAAGCCCTTCCCCATGGGCTCAGGGATTTCAGAGTGCTGGGTCCTGGCCCCATGAGTAAGGGATCACCCGCTCATCTTTCAGCCCATCCAAGCATCTTGGAGGTTTAGAATCTGTCAGGCCTGGCATTCCTTCGCTCTTCTTATCACTCTCTACCCCTTCAAAAAGGCAATTGATTAGTTTCAGCTTTTCCAAACCGAGATCCGATATGTTTTTCAGGATCAAAAGTCTTTGAGAAGTCCAAAGAGCAATGTGGGAAATGGGGAATGTGAAGAAGGAAAACAGGAGGGGGGTGGTGAAATTCATCTCTCACCCTAACTCTCCAAAGGAACCTAGGGGATGGGCATCTGGGCAGGAGATGGAATTGCAACTTCTGGGAGATATACTTAACAACTTAAGATGTGTCTTCCCTTCCTGAAAGCAAATGTTTAAAGAAGAAAATAGATATCTAGAAAAGGAGGTTGATGATTTATGCCTGGATTTCTCTCCAAGCATTTGCCTTCCTTGTATTTACAGGCGTGTCCCCATTTGCAAGTTGTACATCTGTTCTATTCACATGACGTTTCATAAAAGCCCTAACATCTGGGCAAGATAAACTTCCTTCAGGTACCTGCTTAACTTTTCACTTGTCACACTCGCATCGCATCACCCCCCCAGGGCATCCCTTGCCCTATCCCGCCTGCCTCAGTGGTGGCCTCTGTGGGGGTGGGCTGTGCTCCAGTCCGCCCACCTCCCACCCCCATGTCACTGGCCCCCAGTTCCAGCTTCCCACAATATCACTCCCTCCCAGTGCCAACCTTTGCCATGGCCAGGTTCTTTGAGAGACTCCTGATCCTTAGTCTCCCACTTCAGGCCTGACTGTGCAGGTAAATGAGGGTAGCATTTTGAACCCAAGAAAAAAAGTTGTCTTTTGATTCTGTCTTCAGACCAAACCAAAAGGAAAACTGCCGAATACGCCATACAAATTCACATTTAGGTTCGAAAGTCCCTTATACACCTATATATTCCTCAATAAAGTGAAAGAAAAGAGCAGCTGATTTTGGTGGTAGTCATTTCATGAGATTTCCCTCTCTGGTAGATATGCAAACTTCATGTTTTACAGAAACTTAATTTCACTTGCTGGAAATCTCCCCTCCCCCAAGAAGGCTGCCTTCTGGAATGAATGCTTTCAGAGTTGTTTTTTCTTTTCCTAATCTGGAATTTTGTTCCTCTGACTTCAGCCTAAATCGCACGAAGGAGGAGGACACATCGACAAACTTGAGAGCGGGTGGGAGAAAAAAAAAAATAGAAGGAAAAGAAAATAGTCCATGTAAACAAGAAAGGAGGCTGTTGGAGACTTTCACTGCAGCAAACCCCAAACCATCTCGTTGCAGGGTGCCCACAAAATCCCGGCTATAATTGAGTGTTTTCTTTGAGGTTTTCTGACCATGTGCTTTTTACCATGGTTACTATGACTCTGATTCCAGAAGCTGAATATTCATCATGATCCCATCTCAACCTTTCAGAAGGCTTATCTCGTTGGTCCTTACAAAGGAGGAGAATCTAAAGGGGGCACGTCTGTGCCAGTGATTTTAACCTGCTCCACCTTCCAGTGACCTGCCACATGCTCCTTCTTACTTTATAGACATCTGGGAATTCCATACATGCCTTAAACTCCAATTACACACCTTCTTCAAAGGACACGTGCTTTGATTTGCTAAGAACATTAAGTGGGCTCACGTCCTGAGGCCTTGGGACAAAAGCGAGGGAAAAATATATCCCATGTCGGTTTTCTTTTTTTTTTTTTAATTGAAACTGGGTCTATCCTTTGCTGTCCAGTAAATAAAGATAGTTAATAATCCTCCTATTTGCACATTCGTGGGCTCTCAAAGAGTTGGGAGGTTTCTGAGAAATAGTGGGATTGCAGGCTTTGAGAAAATAGGAAGAAACCGATTTCTCCTTCCACTTTGCCGGTGCACTTTCCTTCCACTTTCACTGGTGCTGGGGGCGGCGCATTCATTATGACATATAAGCGGAAAATTCTGCAAAAGTGGTCCCCGGGGATCCCCGCCCGACCCCTGTCTGTCCCCTAATGTGGGCCTGTCTCTGGAAATTCCAGGTTGGGCCTTTGCCTAAATCTGTTGCTATTGCTTCCCTTGCTACCGCTGACACTTGGCACTGCCGCCTCCTAGCAGCGGCCAGACGCGGGGCTGGGGGCCTTCCACGCAAACCGACAGAGGTAGGGACATCGTCATTCTCCCCACCGCGCGGGCTGGGTCCGCCACCCACGCAGGCGGATACCATGCCCTTGCCCCTCTCCCACGCCTGCCGCAGGTGAGACCCTCGCTCCCCACGGAGTTCTGTTTGGGTTTCCGTGGCGTTTGTTCCCCGCAGGTTTGTTTGTTTTTCTTCAAATTACAGATGCAGGGAAAACCGCCTGACATCATAAGAGTGGGACAAACGCTCACTTTGAAGGATTCCTGGGCAGGACTTCAAGTGAAATCATATGCCTGAGAAGAACTTGATACTGGTCTAGAGAAAATAACCAGTTCTGACTTTGCCAAACCATGGAATGTGCAAAATGCTCTACTTTTTCGCAAGAGGCCAAGTGTCCCTTAAAAAGCTCCATTATGAATATGAACCTTAAGACCGAAGGGTCAAGCAGCTTGTGCCGTTGTTGAGTATGGGAAAAAATTTACACACATTGTGCAAGTTTCTGCTTCTTGACATTATTTTATTAATAATATGTTCCACTTTGGCGAGGGTACCTGTAACTGTGCATGAATTATCATTATCATCTGGACATGTGCTTGGCATGTATGTGCACAAAAGGGGAAATGTGCATATGGGTAAAAAATTACTGCTTTCTTGTGACTAAAGGCTATCAATCTGACCAACTTATAAACAAGATAAAAATAATCAATAGCACAGTAAAGGAAACATTCAATTGTCTACAGTTTAACCAAGACAATTTAATACAATACCTTCCCCTAGCAAATGCATTTTGGCTGAAGGAAAAAGATCCCTAGTGAACCAACACATTAATTGGAAAGCATTAGCTTCTTATTTCTGAAACAGAGGTAATTCATTCTATGTGTTCTTTAAGAGTAGGTAGCAAAAATAAAATGAAATAAAATCAAAAGAAGATAAAATGGTGGAGGGAAAGAAACAGGTGGCTTCATTTCTATTCTAAAAAAGAATTTCGCGATTTATGTCTTGTGTATATGGGGGTAGGGATTAGACTCGGCAAGCTGGAAATTGCATTATAGTACTTAATATTTTTCATTGTGCAGTTGCCTCATTCAAAATACAATTATTTACCACCTTTTTCATTCATTTATTTCTCTGAAAATCTGGGGGGAAACATTATCTTCAGTTTAGTATTTAATATTACTATAAATATGGTATTTGCTTTTCTCTAAAGTGTTTCCTCCTATGAAAGAAGTAGAAAAAGCAAAACACATTTTAAAAAGAAAGAAAAGAAAGGCAAATGGAGAGCTACCTTTCTTTGACACAATTAGTTCTTATATCCAGAGTTAAGATAACAATTACCTTCTCAGCAGTGATGACCAGCTCCATCCTGGTGTACCTCAAGAAATCTGAAATATCAAATAGTCAGACCAAGCTAGTGAACAAGGAGACTCCTCATGAATAATTTAGAAAATGGAAGTGGTTGGACGATACATACAGAAGAGAATTACCAACCTAATGCTTTCCCTCATCCTTCTAGGGCACCCTCCTTACAATTCTAACCTACCTTACACACCACACACACACACACACACACACAAACACCCCACAAATACGCCAACACATAATCGCCTTCCCTTTCTGTTATTTGCTAAAGGACTATCAAAATCCAAAAATAATACTTCTCCAAGCTTTCAGTAATGTTTTAATACAAGTAAATGCTGCAGACTCCTTATCGTAAAATACTATCTGAAATATTAACAATAAATTCATAATATTCTTATGTCAGCATTCTATGGTGCTGTGTGAAGAAGAAACCAAAAACCTTCAGGCAATAAAATAACCTCAACCTAAGCTAAGCAACAACGATCTCTTTGGATACATACACTTATTAGTCACTGTTTGAATTAGGCACCAAAATAATTTTCCAGTTTGAAAGCTTCCCCAATTACACTTGAATGCAGTAAATTGGATGTAAAAGTTAAGAACTGATACAAAATCACTATTTCTAATAATGTTAATTATAAAAGCCAGTATCTTCCTGGCCCAGAAATAATCAGAATGAAGTAAAAAATCAAAAACCCCCATTTGCCCATTATTGTTTTACTTAACTTCAGATTGTGTATGTGTGGGTATGTATGATCTCACCAGGGAAAAATTCTGTGTAATTTTGGATAAAATATATTTGCTAATGAATTGACTAGAAACTGCATAGCTGTAGTATTTAAAACTGTGATTGTTCCAACAGTTACCAACGATACTGTAAGTTCAGTCTTATATTCTTCACACATAAAGAATGATGCTTCCCAAATAGCATCAATATAGGGATATATTAACTTTTCTTTTTAGCAAACAAGACACTAAATGTCATATTCATTCATGAGAGAACAGTTAAGCAAATTACAAATGGAATTTTCCCTTTTCTGCTGATTTGCACTTTGTTTTCTATGCATTTCTGGTCATTTCTATGTGTGTACAGAAAATTTTCATAACACTATGTATCTTTTCACTGAAAACTTGTTATTTAGGAATCTTCACAAACAGTGCAGAGCATGACAAAAAGTACATAATAAGAGAATAGTGCAGGTTTCATACTCCTTATTTGCATTTAACGGTTTTACAACTACCACCTCAAAATATAAGGGAGATGAATAGCAAATTTGTTAGTTTTTGCTGTTTGGAGATGATATGAAGAAGAGATGCTACTAAGCCCACTGAATACCAAGCTGGAATAATAATAAAGCTGTCTTTTTAAATAACATGCTTGTGCCTGTCAGTAGCTGCTTTGAGTTTTTCACTGTTTTGTTTATATTAGTGCCCCCTCCCTCCTGGGTGCCTTTAGAATTAAACAAGCAGGTATTTACCACCAACTTAATCTTTAGCTTTAAAAATATAGACCAAACTCTAAGGTTCTTTAAATTTTTTTATCATATTTATTTATTGCAGAAAAATATACAAAGATATTTACAAAACAATCATAAAAATATGAATGCATTTAGACACCGGATCTATTTGCATTTTACCATGGGTCCTCAATAAATAAATAGAATGTTGTTTTTTGTATTTTAAGTATTTTTTTTCCCCCTCAGAGGAAGGATGAAAAAAAGAATTAACTGACTATGGTTTTGCAGGCCAGTTTGATCCCAGTATTATTTCTAAAGGTGTTCTTATAGTTCCTCTGATAGTTACCATTTTAAAATAGAGAAAGTCCATAATGATGCCTTTCCTTTCAGTGGCTGATTGGCACGACCTCTTGAGAATGCATGCATGAAAAAAATAAAAATAAAAACATTCTTCGTCAAAAAAAAAAAAAAAAAAAAAACACACAAACAACTGTTCAGACTTCTATCAGAATGCAGAGGTGTGAGGATGGTGCCGCTGCCCGTCTGGGAATCACTGTCCACGGGCCTGTCTCGCTTTCTCTTTTAAAAGTGCGCCCCACGCCCTGTTTCTTTGAATTTGGATTTTGCTCTTCTAATTTCCAAGAAAATCTGTGGCATATATTTTTATTTTTAGTTATCCAGCTCCAGAGTCTCTAGACTGTCCATTTTCTCCTTCTCTGGAAACAATGACATCTGCAAAAACCCAGAGGGGGGAGTCGGTTATTGTTTAGGTCTCTGTGGCTGTTTTCTAAGACTAGTGAGCACTGTTCTTATCACCACCACCGAGAAATTAAGCTGAACAACCTGGAAGGATTTCAGCCCAAGGGCAAGAGGAAGTGGGTGGGTGGAAAGAAGGAGGAGGTGGAATTTGTTTTAAAACATATGTTTTAAGGAGAACAAAAATTGAAAGCTGAAAGAAAGGGTGGCGCTGGCAAAACGGTCCTTACCCGTGACCCCTGGGTGTCTCTGTCTCCCCTCCTGTCACGCACACTCACGCGCACACACACCCCTCACCAGGGCGCATCCCCCTGGAGACTGCTCTCCCTAACGGGGTCCGACCGGCCTACCCGGGACGCTGGGGGCGCGAGGCAACGGTGCCAAGTGAGGTGGGAAAGCTGAGAGGAGAGTGGGAGAGGAGAGGAAATCGAGGTGGACTGGGAACCGCGGCCTGGTCGGCCAGTCGTCTGCCACCTGAGAGGCGAAGGGGTGCAGCGGCGCGGTCCTTACCTAGGTCTCCGGCCCTGCTGAGGGGGTGGGGGGCTCCGCCGCTAGTGGGACGCGGACATGGACCAGGCCCCCTCCATCCTCCAGACCGAGAAGGCGTAGCTGAGCCGCTCGTGAGCCACATAGCTGCAGCTTGCCATCTTGGAGTCCAGCTCGTCGCTCTGGAGGACCTGGTAGAGGAAGTCGATGTACCTGGCCGCCAGCTTGAGGGTCTGAATCTTGCTCAGCTTGTCCGAGGGCAGCGTTGGGATGATCTTCCGCAGCGCGGCGAATGCCTCGTTCAGCGACTGGGTGCGCTGGCGCTCCCGCACGTTGGCCATGACCCGCTGCGTCTGCAGCTCCTCGTACGACTGCGGGCTCCCGCCGCCGCTGCTGCTGCCGCCGCCGCCCGCGCTGCCGCCGCCGCCGCAGCCCGCAGACTTCTTGCCGCGCTTGCCCAGGGCCGGACTGCCCGGCTCGTCGCCGCCTCCGACGCCCCCGCCCGCGGCTCCACCGGGCCCCGCGCCGCCGCCCGCGCTGCGCCGGCTGCTACGCCGCTTTCGTCCCCCGCGCTTGCCGCTCGGCGGCTGCTGCCGGTCTGGCTCTTCTTCGCTGTTGCTCAGGCTGTCGTCGGCCGGCGAGACTGGCGAGCTGGACACGTCCTGCATCATCTCTCGAGCGGCGACGCGTGGCCTCGCGGGTCCGGGGCAGAGGGGCAGCCCGGGGAAGAGGAGGAGAGCGGGGCGCCTCAGCCCGCCAGCTTCCCCAGCGCGCGGCGCCGGCCCGGGCGGTGCGGCCCGCGGAGGAGGGAGCAGGAGGACGGACGGGAGGGACCTCCGCGGGGAGGGCGCGCGGGGGAGGCGGGGAGGGAGGCGGGAGGGGGAGGGGACGGTGTGGATGGCCCCGAGGTCCAAAAAGAAAGCGCCCAACGGCTGCACGCACACCCCGCCTGGCCGCCTGGAAACGGTGCCGGTGCTGCAGAGCCCGCGAGGTGTCTGGGAGTTGGGCGAGAGCTGCAGACTTGGAGGCTCTTATACCTCCGTGCAGGCGGAAAGTTTGGGGGCAGCAGTGTCATTGGCCTGACGTGGGGAGGAGGGACTTTTCGAAGTTTTATAGGAAAGTTTCCGCTTTCCAGTCCCCCTCCCCCGTCCCACCTCCCTTCCTCGGGGTCTAACAATTCGTCCTCCCAAACCATTCAAAAACGACCTGGCCCGGGCGGCCGGCCCCTCCACCCGCCTCCTTGCCGTCCTCCCCCTTCCCTCCCCGTCGCCTTCCCCTGGCAGGCGCGGGGCGATTTCCTTCCCCGCCGGAGCGTGCGGGCAGCGCCCCCGAACCCTAGCGCAGCCCAGGAAGGGGCCGGAGGAGACTGTCCTGGCCGCGGTGGCAGCCGCATCCGGAGTGGCTGTGACAGCAGCGGTGGCAACAGCTTCTACACAGTGGGTGATGTCTCATCTCGCCCAAGAGCCCTCTAGGTCCGTGGGGCCGATTTGGGATTGCTGGGGCTGGGGGTGGGGGGTGGTGTAGGGTGGCGGGGCATGCCAAGAAAACTGTCAACCGCGGAGCCCACTCAATGGTGAGGTAGACGAACCCCTTGGAGTTTCAAGGGCCAAACCGCCGCGGCCCAGCCCCGAGGTCCTGGGCGTTTCTGAAGACGTGGCCGCGCGGCGGGGGCTGAGGATTTGCGTCCTGGCCTCCTCTCTCACCCTTCTGGGCCCTCCTTTCCCCTCTACAACGACCCAGTCTAACACTCCCCAACATCCAAAGGACTAAGCCTCGGAAGGTGCTCGAAAGAGGCAGAAGTTCACTCTCCGGTGCAAGGAAACCCAGTCCATGGGGAAGGCAGCAGAGCCAGAGGGGGGCAGCGCAGCGTCTTTGCTGCGGCCCTGACAGCTGGCAATGCCAACCCAAGGGAGAGACCCTGTGGCCATTTCATCCCCACCCCCAAATTAGGCCCCGCATTGTGACCCTGAAAGGCCAGCTTGTAAGAGTGAAGTGGGAATTTGATAGCGCCTGGACATAAGGGGCTGCCCGCTCTAAGACCCCCCTCCCAGCCCCCACTATCTAGGAGATCCAGTGAACAATTAGGCTTCGTGGGCCCCAAACGCATGCCAATTACTTGGATACACTAACATTTTAAGCATTTCTGTCTGTATGTTAAAACGAGCCACAAAGAGGGTGTTAATGTAGATCCTGGCAAACTGGAAGCAACAAAGTTGGTGAACAAGAAAGAAAGCCACCTTGGATAAGAAGCCCATCTTTTGCAATGCCATATTTGTTCCCTTTTTGAAATGAATGGAGGTACAATAACCGTTTCATGTCCATCCCTTACACGGCAAAGTAAAAGGCTGGAGTCAGTACACAGTGTTGGGGTGGGGGCAGCGTTTGGGGGCGACGAGTTTTGTGCACCCTGCACATAAAGTCCGCTCATGGGCTCCTCAGTACGGACTCACCAGTGGGAACAATTAATTCAGCAAAGCGCCCCTTTCTGAGCTGGACCAAGGTTCGCGGCTGCAGATATCTCAAGCTGGAGGCAGGAGCCCAGGCGACGCCCAGGCAGGCCACGTGGCTGTTCCCGCTGAGACTCGCAGCTTTAGCCCTGGAAACCTTAGGGTGTGGAGCTCCTTGAGTCGACTGAAGGGTTCAGCTTTTTCGGAGAAGTGAAGGCGGGTGTTATTTCTCCAGCGAGGTGTAAACAAGACTGTGCTTTCATGAGAGGGACAAATGACAGAGTTGGTCCCTTACCATTTTTACAGAAATACTCAGAAACAGTGACTACAGCTTGTCAACTGGTCTGTTCAGTGAGCCGCTGCCCTATTGTAAAATAGTCTCTCTGAAAATCAGATTCGACTTGACCTCCACTTAATTTCAGTAGCACTCTAGCAGTTCTCAAAACAGTCACCCCTGCACCCTTGCGTTTGCATGTTCCGCTTACAGGATTTTATCTCTTGGAAGCGCTTAGAGAATGCGGCAAAAATTCTGCCCCACTCTCCACCAAGTGTTCTTTTTGTAAATCTGAATTGCACAGTATTCTGCAATTCTTATTTAGAACGTGGCTGCAGAAGGCTCGAAACTTTTTCCACTTCAGCTATTTTTTTTTAAACATAAATATCAAATCTTATTTTTGTTTTGTTCTTTTTTTCTCTTTTCTCAAAAATAAATAAAGAGATCGAATGATTGGACTCTTTCCTTTGTGGCCACGGATAAGCAAGACAGGAAAGTGTGGGTAAAGTGTAAGGAAATCTTACCTGACCAAGGGGAATTGGGGAAGGGGAGGGGAGCGGACAAGCTGGAGGAGAAACCGAGTCCACAACAGCGCAGCAGCCAGGGGTCATTAGCCAGCCCATCTTGCAAAGTCATCAATCTCAAAGACTGGTTCTTAAACAAGTGAGCCCAGCCCTTTTCCCGGCACTAAAACTTCTAGCTGATGGAGCGCTCCTGGCCATTGAGTACAGGGATCCCCCAAGGCTCAGGCGACGCTCTGATGCCAGAATACTTAGAGGGGAATTCAAAATGAACACCTAACCAGAACCATCCTGACCATGGAACCTTTCAGCCAGAGTCACAATTGATGACTAGTTCTAAGAAGAAATTGCTCTTGAACTGTTCCGAAGAGTGGAGGATGAGACGACTTTTGAGTTCCTAAGTAAGGCTTGAATGTTACTTTTGTAGCAAAAGGTAGTCCCGGAGTTACCTCTCAAAAAATGGCTGGAGCTAGATACTCCCTGCTTTACAAACTGCAGCACGCCCTGCTGACAGTCCAATCTGCTCATATACAGCTCTTTCTTATCTAACATTTTACCTAACAATTTTCTTTTCCACATTTGCAAGAATGGCTCCCTTTTTACTTGTTGACAAGTCAGATATAATTCTGGATTCTCTTATATATGCAACAATAATTGCAACTTCTGCAATGTTTCGTTTAAATTTGAAAGCTTACTTCTTTCTAAAATCCCAATCTTGGGGTCGTAAAAACAATCTTAGAAATTTTCTTTTGAGGCTGAAGTTAGCCTAACTGTAAGGATGTCAGTGGGGACTACCTTCTTTGGGAATGCTAGATTAACTGGAGTTCAGTCATTTTGCCTCCTTCTAAAATAAAGTCCCCCCAAAAAAAAATTAAATGAAAAAAAAAATTTCTTTTGTACTTGGATAATTCAAAACGATCTTTGTTTTCAAATTGCAAACTTGGCATGTTTGCAATCCTGCCTGAGGAATGTGTGCTGTGTTAAAAGTTGAAACAAAAAATACTGTTAAAAGTAACAGAGTTAGAAATCTCACACCGACCATATACAATAAGTATTAAGTATCCTGACAGTTTGAATATGCTGTGACATTCTCTTAGCAATAATCAATTATAAATACTTTTAGATAAGGAAAAGAAACACACACTATAGAATGGTTAGCAAGCTGGTAAATTCTGGAGTTTGAGCTTGCATAAAAGGTGAGTACCTCAATCTGTTCCTACTCTTCTTTCTCCTCAGACTTTAGATGGCCTATCACCTGTTTGTTGGCTCCTACTTCTGAGAAATAATTTCTCCGAATTGCATAAATAATGCACAGGAGCATTCGCACGGAAGGGAGTGAAAATTAGAAAGGCTGCAATTGAGTGAATCTCAGATGAGGTTTTATATCTTAGATTTCATCTTGCTTTGAGCACTCCAGAGGGACTGCTGTTTAAATGAGAGAATTTTATTAAAGGGGAATATAAAGTCACGTCAGCACAATAACTGTGTAAAGCTTTTTCTTCTTTCATGACCCTGGTAGCCTTAATGATGTTTGAACACCTTTCCCTAAATAAAAACTCATTCTCTTTAAATGATGATTTAATTCATAAGTTCAACAGATTCAATATTTTTCTATCTAAATAGCTTTAAAAGTTAAAAAAAAAACTAAAGTTATAAAATGTGAAATTTTCAATCCAGAAATAAAACCAAAAAGTAAAAAAACACAATAAATTGGGGTGCTAACAGTACCACAAATGAAATTTTCAAATACATGTTAATCTTTAAAATAGCTGACATTCTGAACTCAGCATAAGGATGGGATGAGGACACATAGGTCTAACCTGTAGAAAGCACAGGATCAGAATATGGAAAAGTATGGAGTCTTGAAGAGCTTTTTTTTGTTTGTTTTGTTTTGTTTTTTTCAGGGGGTGTGCAGGCTGGAGAGTTGGTGTCTCGTTTTTTTCAGGGGGTGTGCAGGCTGGAGAGTTGGTGTCTCAGCTGCACATTAACCTTGTTGGAAAACACACTCACTTCACTTATATCAAAGAATTGCTGGAATAACTGATGAAAGAATGCAAGAAATAAATAGTTATTCATAGGAACTATTATCATTGTCTCAGTCTTTCTACATAGTATTATGCGTCTTCTTTTTAATCATTCGATGACCTGTAATTTAAATATAAATTGAATGATTTACATTCTATGTTTTTTTCAGTTCAATTTATCTTTCTGATTACTCATAACTTTCACCTTTCTTCACTTGAAGGGATTTCCGTTTTTCACAAATGGCTTTTCCTGAAGCCTTATGTCCTGCTGCTATTGTTTGGTTTGGTTCTTTCTGCAGAAAACATGTTGTTTTTGCCAGTGACCACAAGAGGACACAATTTCCCAGATAACTTTGTTTAGAAAGACTCATAGAAGAAGAAAGCTAAAAAAAAAAAAAACAGCAAAAATAACACACAATTAATGAATATCATTTGGAGATGTCTATTTTATTTATGACATTTTTATTAATTAAAAAGAATAAACATAAGTTGGCATTCAAAGTTTTGAAGATTTTATGATTTTT